GGTCTAGCCAAAACAGCACTAAAGTGTGCCTTGATGGCGCATTAAGGAAAAAATTCCCCCCATTTACTTGATTAAGATTTATAGCTCTCCTCCTTCAGCACAGCAATGATTTTTTTTAATATCAAAAAATTCCTAAAATAGATTGCTAATGATTGCTTCCAGCTATTTATTTAAGAAGCTTGCTCCAAGTGCTGCTTGTATGGATTCCTATAAAAGACTGAACTTATTTCATAGTTTCCAGAATAAATGTTATTCCTATTCTGTAGTAATATGCCACTCCTGTAACTGGTTATCAACATATCTTATTTTTGTGTCTCTATATACATATTCTAAATGTTTATAATTGCCATAAAATATATGAAGACACCAAAAAATCCCTTATTAGATCAAGCCATAAATTAAAATTTCAGTTTAACTGGAAGCCCTGAAATACTTAGGAAGAAGAAATGGAATTGTTCAAGTATGATGGTTTTTTGTTGTTTTTTTTTTGAGACAGCTAAAGTTCACAGAGCCAGGCATGTGGTGCACACCTTTAATCCCAGCACTTGTGAGATGAAGCAAGTGGATCTCTGGGAGAGAAGAGACCAGCCTGGTCTACATAGTGAGTTCTAGGCCAGCTGGAGCTACAGGAGACTCTGTCGCCAAAAAAACCCCACCGAAAATATAAAAATAATTCACTACTCCCCATTACAGTCATTATGTCATTATAAAATATTTTAACTCCCAAAAAAAATCCAGAAAGAAAAAATGACTAAGTAATTAGTGACCATTTATGTATATAATTCATTCTCTTTATGTAGTTTACTTTGTAGATTATATTTGACTCCTGTTTTTTTCACTTAAAGTAATATTGTCATTTTCATGTTATTGTAAAGAAGAATTTTTAATAACTGTGTATTATTCTATTAGTATCCCTACCATGATTTTCAAAACCTCCTTGTTGAGCATTTAGCTTAGCTCTGTTTTTCCAGTGTAAATTATGGCATGATTGACTATCTAATGAGTTCCCTGGTTTTAGTCTTATTTCCTAAGATAAAACCTCCCAGAGTCAAATGTTTAAAAGCTCATTGTTCAAATTGCATTCCAACCATCAGTCCAGTTTATGACTGTTACCAGCATTTTAAGAAACTGTCCAAATGACAGAACAGAACTTGAAAACTATTTCACTGAGTGCTGCTTTGGTTTATATGCTGAGGTGCTCCAACAAGCCACTAAAAACAGGGATGTGGAGCAAGCCTTTGGCTGGCTTGTGTGGACCTTTCATTTTAGCAGAGCCTCGAAGCGAAGCCAGGAGCCATTATTCATAGTCATGATGTCTCAGGCATGGAAAAGTTCTTCTAATTTTCACAACATAAAAGAGGTCTGATGACAGTGACAGAGCTGAGTGAGGACCCAGACATGCTGACTGGAAGCTAGAATTAGGACTGGAGCACTGGATTCCTCTCCATTTAAAAGTCTAATGCCTTTTCTCCTTCAGTTTGGGAGTTTGTGGAATTTAGAGATATTTTTATGAAACTGAAGGAGCAGTAGAACTAAAGCAAGTTTGAGATTGCAAAATTGTCAGAAGTTGCAATTGGAATGGTCTTCATGAAGCTGTTAGGTTGTGTGTTTTCTGGAACAGCAAAGGTTAAATTTTAACTTTTAAAATGTTTAAATGTTTAACTTTTAAATGTTTAAAGAATTTAAGTTTAGATAATTGAAATACCTGTTCTTTTTAGACTTTTTCAGTGGCTTTTTTTGTTTTGTTGGTTTTTTTTTTTGTTTTGTTTTTTGTTTTGTTTTTTTTTTTTGCTAATACCCATTTGTTTTTCATGTATACTAGATAGGACTTCAACACACTTTCCACTGTTTAAAACAAGGCTGGCATATAGCTCAGTGGTAGAGCACGTAAGGGGCATAAGATTCAGTCCCCAACACTGAAAGCAGAAATTTTAAAAGCTTCAGTTAAACGTTTTGATGAATGCCATCTTAATAACTCGCTTACTGAGAAACTGATGCAACATAGGTGATCTGAAAAGCAGTATTTGATGGAGCCCACGTATATGCGAATAAACTTCCTGTTGTAAACTCTTGGGAAAAAAATGTTTTTCCTAAGAAATAATGGAAGTCTGCTGATATGGTACACGCATAAGGGTTAAGAGAAAGAGAGGCTTTCATCAAACAAGCAAGACATGCCTGGAAGCATGGGTGTAGGCTCCCCTAAGGCTCTATGACCTTCAAGGTTGGCCTGCCCATCAAATTATATATTCCACATTGTTTAGCTGATGTAAATACCTGTTTAAAATAGCTGTAACCGACTGTGACTAGTAATAATCAGATACATAGAGATTAGAAACGAATGTGCAAACATCTTAATGTCAGTTGCATTAAAAATGAATTTTTGTGAATGAAACTGTATTTTAATAATGAAATGGAGATCTTTTTTAAAGGTTAAAACTTCATTTAGCTGGGCGTGGTGGCGCACGCCTTTAATCCTAGCACTCGGGAGGCAGAGGCAGGCGGATCTCTGTGAGTTTAAGGCCAGCCTGGTCTACATAGTGAGTTCCAGGACAGCTGGAGCTACA